GCCGAAAAACAAAAACTGTGTTTGAATTTTCCGGGAAAATCTACAACGACGAGTGAAAAAAATTCCCAGAACAGAGACAATCTTAAAAAGGTCAGATTTTTCGTTGTGGGTATTCATCAAAAAAAACTTTCTGTTCGAATTTTCCGGGAAAATCTGAAGCGAGGTCGGAAAATTTTCCTAGAATCTTAAAGGTCAGATTTTTCTTTGTGGATATTCACAAAAAAACTTAAAAACAGCTCCAGTTTTCCGTCAGAAAATATTCCCGGAAAGCAATTTTTTCTCGGGATTTACAAAAATCAGAGGAATTTGTAGAAAACTAACCTCATGAGAATCGTTACGGGTAATAGGAGCTGCAAACGAATACGAATGAGCAAGAACAGCAGATTCACCCATTTTCAACCTTCACAAATCAAACAACCAAAATTTTCTACACCAAGAAAATATGAAGCTTTTTTTTTGTTAAGCTCTAGAATTTTTTTTTGTCTCTGGATAGTGTTTTTTTCTCGTAAAAAAAACGTCTCTTGAATTCAAAAATATTTCTCTGTCGTTGAAAAGAAAAACTCAGATTTTCTCGCTCAAGCTGCTAAAAACACATGGTGAGGGAAGAAGATCTGAAGAATATATTTAGATCTGGGTCCCATGAAAAAGGAAAGAAGATAAAATCAAACACAGATTATTAAAATAATTTCAGAAATATTCACACTTTATTTGTTTTGGGGATAGGAATGAAAATTATGAAACTTAAAGAAATGATTTTTGTGATGTAGTCGTTGAGATATGAAGTGGCTGAGAATTGAAGCGAAAGGAAAAAAAAATGTTTTCTTGGTTTTGATTTTTTCTTCTGTGGAAGGAAAAAACTGAGAAAATCTGGAAACTCGGTCTACGGAACCGATTTCCGAGTTCTTTAAGATTTATTTAAATTTTTTTATTTATTGTGAAACGTTTTTCTTAAAAAAGAACTATTTTTAGAATGTTTTATTTAATTAAAGGATCAAATTGTTTTTTTTTGCCAAAATGGGGAAGAGTTTAAATCCAAATTTTTTGTATTATGAACGTTACTTTATGTTATTGGAATGTCTTTTAAGACAATATTTCTTCCGTTTTCTTTTATAAAAATTTTTCAATATTTTCTCTTCTTTTCCTTTTTGAAAAACATCAATATTTTTTCCATATTAATTACCAGACTTGAACGTCAAAAAATCTTCGGGCGAAGACATGTTTTCGTCTTCCGAAGACCATTATGATTTTTTTTTTTAATAATCGGAGCGTCCAAGTTTTTATATAACGTCGAATAGTCCACTCACCGGATTTTTTAATGGACCTAAACGTGGCACCATTTGGACTGGCCAAACAGAGGTGAAAGTATTTTATGAGGAATCGAATTCAGGTTGGAAGGTTTACCTCTTTGATTATGAGAAGTCTTTTTACCCCTACACTACCACCACTTGGTTATGATGATGTTACTTCATCCTAGACGATAATATACCATTTCTCCTGAAATTATAAGTTTTGACTCCAATTGAACATAATTAATATTTTATGCTCACATATTATTTTTAAACGTAGCTAAATCAACGTAAAATATCGCAAAACAATCAGTATTAAAGCCCTAATATCCGATTTGAAAATATCTTAACATATTTTCTAAAGAGCTTTTCCATCCAAATAAGTTAAACGAGTTATAAAGTCACGTTATTCGATGATGTTAACAAAATAGATTATCCAGATTAGTTTTTAATGAATATCAAAATCTAAATTTTAATGGCTGAATTTGACTAAATTGCAAAATATAACTAAATTTGCCATGTTTTTATGTATTTTCCATTAGTTTGATTGTAATTCCTACTTTTGTAATAGAGTCTGAAACTCTCTAAATTAATGAAATTTTAGTTTACTAAATGTTTTGCAAAAATTGGTGAAATAACTTATAATTTTTAAAAATAAACAAAATAATTAAACCTATGCAAATATTAACTAAACAACGTTTATCAAAAAGATTAGTTAGA